ACTAAAAAGTAGCTGTGTTTGTCATGGTTTTAAATGATCTTTAATTTCAATTCTCTATCCTCAGATTATTTTATTATTCATTTTTTATTTTAGCTTTTAAGAAAGCTATGCCAGAACGTTCTACACAGACCAAGGGAGTTTAGAGGTACTAGATARCCCCYAGGGGTGGGAGCATAGCCACAGCCAACCTTGTACCGTTGTCCTGGGAATGGGGTTGGCGGTTGAGGTATTGGTTGACTCATGCATTAGTTCTTAGATTACATGACACTACCAAACATTATAAAAAGATAATAGTTTAATCTTTTTTAGATACAATGCCCAATCGGCGTCACTGTATTCCTTTGCGTGGTTCGTGAAATGGTCAAATGACTGACGTTAAACCTGCACATCCACGTTCGTGTGATTTTGACATATTTGGTGTTTTGCTTGATTATCWATATTTAACGTCCGGGTATTTTTGCTATATAAGATGTGAAAAAAAAAAACACAACAACAACGCAGGGGTGGGGGATGGGGGTTGATTCCGTAATGGTCAGCGGAGGTACTCATAAATCAAATATGGCGGCCGATCGCTTTGGTGAAGATGATGATTTTTTAGAAGAAAGCAATTTAAAACCAATTGTTTATTCATCTGAAGTAGAAGAAGCAATATCCCAGGTATGCTTAAGGGCGAAAAATCAACTCAATTCATTTTTTTAAAACTTACAGCTCTATTACTTTATTAAATCGAACTGTGTAAGAAATGAACCATCTGCAGCAAATCAACTTGGTTTAAGCTTAAGTTATAAAAGTACAGGAGATTTCATGTTTTTATGAATGCTTACTTGGTGTATTTGTTTTCATTTAAAGGTTTTTCACAGTGATGATCCTTTAGACAGCAAAGATTTTAATCCTGTGGATTATATAAATTCCATTTTTCCCACTGAACAGGTGAGCTTATCTTATCTTATAAAGTAAACTTAAGTTATAGATCTGGATGTGCAGGGAGGTCCCAATGCGTAACGAATATTAAAAACATTGACATTGACATTAAGGCCTGCTGATCATGTGTTCTGCAGTTTTAGTGCTAAATGTTCCGTCCGAAAATTACAATTTATATCCCAAATAAATTCTTCAGAGGGTTGACTATCAAATCTGGAAAATGTTGAATTTGGACTCCATGTGCTTTGTCTTGAGTGAGGAGTGAGTGACAGCAGATTTGTCTGTGTTAYAGGGAAACTTGTACATTTGAATCGATCAGACATTTGCAATGATTTGCACAAATTAGGCCTTGAAAAGCTGAAGATAGCATGACAAAAAATAATTGACAAAGTATGTATGTACATGTATGTATATAACAACTGACTGTGATTTCAAAGTAGTTAATATTAATAGCATTATTATATTATTTTGTTTTAGTCCTTGGCTAATATTGATGATGTTGTAAACAAAATGAGATTAAAAATCAGGTAAGGAATCCCTTTTATGAAATACAGCTTATTACTGATATACCATTGAATARAATACCAGTGTACCTTGATGACTTAGTTCAATGCTTTGTTCATGGTTCACTGAACCTGCACATGGAAGGTACGTCGTGAATAGAAAAGACAATTGAAATAGGATAACCTGTGTGAAAACCATGTCTAGCTTATAAGAATGTTTGCTGTTAATGAGTGTGAGTGATAATTGCAGTACTATAAGGGAGAAAAATGGGTTTCCAAAAGCTCTCCATAACTAGAGCTGTATGCTTATGGAAGATTTTCAAGTGGGCAAGAATAAAATGTAATTACAATACAGTAAATATGAAAATAATCAACATTTAGTTTGTCCCGTCCTTTTACCTCTTACAATGCATTATTATCATCAAAAACAATACAGGAGTCTTGATGAAGAAATACGAATAGTTGTTCGAGGACAAACCAACATTGGTCACGAAGGCAGACAGGTAGGTCTCTAATACACCTTCAACTATTATTGAAAATCTTGTAATAAACTAGAGGTGAAATGGAGGGATCTTTATTGGAATCATGGGTGTTTTCAATATTTATGTTGTTAGGCACTCGAGGAAGCACAAGGAGCCATTCAACAACTTTTTGATAAAATTAAAGACATCAAAGAAAAAGCTGACAAATCAGAGCATATGGTAAACATTGTACATTTTAAACACTATTTTTAAAACAACGAAAAACAGTAATGAAAAAAGAGCAATACAACAAATGATTTTGAAGACAATAAAATAACAAAATTAAGACGTAGAATCTGTCATTTTAATCATGTAATCATGAGTAACATGGCGTTATCTGTGGGTTAACTTTAGGTGTTTTTTTAATACTTTTTGCCTGCTCCAGCAACAATGTTGATTTGATTGCTTTTCAACCCGAAGGTTAAAGAAATTACCAGAGACATAAAGCAGCTAGACCATGCAAAGAGACATTTAACATCATCCATTACAACTCTGAACCATCTTCACATGCTTGTTGG